CGGTCCAGATACAGTCTACGGTTCGGGGCGCAGCCGGCAACCCAAGCTTCTCCTAGCTGAGGCTACCTTAGGCCCAGACTCCACTAAGGCTGGCGCAGCAGGCGATCGTCATTGGCTGAGCTGGCTGACCATTGGAGACAACGACGTCAAGATGTCGAATTAGGCGGGACCCTCAGCCACACTCCAATAACTCCACTTCACCACTACCCAACTTACACCCCGTCGAATCAAACACAAATCTCGCGATCTTCGCTTCTGCAAGAAGGGAGCAAGCAGAGCCTCATTCTACTGTCTCTGGTGCTGCTTACGAAAGCATTTTCTTCTCTCGTGGCAGGTGCCGGTCACTCGGAGTTTGAGGCCCGTTCCGTCCGGCAGGGTACGGAGCACAAGGAGGGGGGATATTGCGGCGCCACTACAAGCACCAGCTCTCCGGTTCCGATCATATTGAGTTGCAGAGAGACATCTTACAAATACGCCAACTGTCTCCACCTCGCAGCATGGCGCAAAAGTCTCGCCGTGACTATGAAAACGAGGTCAGAGGATGGGGGTTCTCGCACGTGTTCACATGGACTGACGGCCCGTATGTCTTGACTCCCAGCTTGAATTTCAGGTTCTTTTTACTACTTTTCCGAGGCTCTGTGTGTGTGTAATGCTTGTGTAACAATATTGACTAACATCGCTTGGATGGCGAATGAAGAAATGCATACTACAGGCCACACACGCACAGCGGGCTGACCACACATCTGATTCTGCGTGGCGAGCTGACCATCACCTACCCCAAGGACGAGAACCCGGAGAAGAAGACCTTTGGCGTGGGCGACCGTATTGATGTTGATGCCGGCCGCGTTCATGAGGTTTGGGTTGGGGGTGAGGGGTGTACGTATGTTATCGGAGAATGAGCCAGTTGGACCTTTGGACCTATTGAGCCTCAATGTCTTCACTGCAATATTAGCATCATCAGAGGTCTTAGTATCTTCAGTTTAATCCTTTGCAAGACTTCATCTTTGTCATGCTCCTGATGATTGGTCCAGCTGTGAGGGTATGGGGCATAACCAGCTTCACAGCCACACGGATGCACTGCAATTTTAGCAACCTGGGAGATCTTCACATCTTCAGTACGATTTATTGAGGACTCCAAATATGACAAAGTGTAAGGCTGAACTAGCCATATGCTAATGGTTGGACCACTGGTGAGAGCTTTTGCATGCGTATGACTTGAAAGTGCAGAAAGCTGGTTTCACTGGAATCTTAGTCTTGTCCGGGGACTCCTTGCCTCCTATCAATGTCAGGTGTACCCTCGAGTCTTAACAAATATAAGACTGGGCACAGCCCACATTCGCAAGCTCTGGCTATCAGTCAGGTAACAGAACTGTGAGTAGAGTTTCGGACCGAGATAGTATAAGACGTCAAATCGTCCTTTGTATGGTGGAATGGAATGAATAAGTTCTTGAAGAGGGGTATGCTGTGCGTGAAACAGGAGACAACTCTGAGTGACAGAGATACTGAAGAAACGGCAAAGGATCCGATGATGCAACCTGTTTGGCTGATAATCTGAAATGTTTTGACTTCACTCACTTGTAATATTTGCCAGCGAACTCGTCGAGCTTTCATCTCATCATAGCCACCTCCCTGAAAATCTCAGAAGACCGCGTGTGAATTTCACGATGATTCAACCGCTGCTCAGATCTTTGACTCTGCAATATACTGTGCAGGCTTGGTTGTAATAATAGTCAAGAGTTAGCATATCTACCTCCATATGTGGACCCCTCAGAATCTGAATGTCTTTAAGTAGACGACAACAGCCAAGGGGTTGAAAATTCACGTCTTCCCACAAGCATGATTCGCTCGCAGGGTTCTGGTGGCATCTCCAAGCAAGAACACGTAGACTTTACAATCTCCTCCAACAGCCAATGAGGAATCCGCGCGATTTATGCTGCTCATCAAGCGGACGGACATGTTATGTTGTAAATCCGCCCAGAAAAGCCATAGACTTAGAAAAGACTTGGGACCCACCCGGGTCCAGCACGACTAAGTATAGTAATTGAAACCTCCGTATAGTATTCGACGCAGACAC